CAGCGTGGATTGTGCTTTGCATTCGCACATGCTATGAGCTCGCCAACGTACCAGCCCCGGCGATCAGGGCTCACTCGACTAGGGCCCAAGCGTCCTTGGCGGCTTTCTTGGCGCAGATTCCACTCCAGGAAATCTGTAAAGCGGCCACCTGGTCGTCGGTACATATGTTCACAGCCCATTACGCAATCCGTCACTAGACCAGAGAGGACGCGGTGATCGGCAGGGCTGTGCTTCAATCAATTGTTCCTTGACTCCTACCCTCCTCCAATGGTAAGCTTGTGAGTCACCTAATGTGTAATGGACGTGAACAATCACTCGAAGAAGAAAAAATGGTTACCTACCTTCTGTAACTGTTGTTCTTCGAGATGTGTTGTTCACGTCCATTACACTCCCCACCCTTCTTCCCCTCTGTCGGAGTCTCCGGCAAGAAGGAACCGAGGGAGGGTCGGGCCAGCAGGGATATATATACACTAGAGCGGGGCGCCGCTCTGGTGGGAGAGGGGATCCCTGCCGGCCCAACGGGAGCCGCTGAGGGAAAAAGTTTCCGACGTCCGTGCACGCGGCGCGCGCACACCTAATGTGTAATGGACGTGAACAACACATCTCGAAGAACAGTTACAGAAGGTAGGTAACCGTTTTTTCTCAGAGCTTGAAGTGGGTCAGACATGCTGTTTCTGTATTATACTTCACATTTGTGAGTCTTTTCTGGTCAGATAATTTTACAAAAGGAGTTAAAGGACACTGAAAAAGTAGATGGGGGAAAAATCCGTTGGCATAGAATTATCTTGCAGTTCACAGATATAATTTGCTGTTGATTTTTAGTATCCTTGATGTTTTCTGCAAGAGTTATCTATCTGTGTGTTAGTGTTTTGTTCAGAGCTTTGATGTAATACTTCTGAGTAAAAATGAATAATTTTACCATGTTGAAAGATTGTATGATCTTTCACTACTCCAGAAAGTACTTTTAAGACGGGAAGCTAGACTGGTAATGTCAGGTGTGTTTCAAGCTTTGCCGCAGAGACATTTTAGAAACCTCACACTTTTTTGTTGAAACATATAAGGTGTGAAAACTGGTAGGAAGAGTCAAAAATGGCAATGTTTCAATGTGAGCACAAAGCTCTTCTTATAAGTCATAGTAAGTTCTGTGTTTTACCGACTTAATACAAGGCAAGTTCATTCCTGCATGAATTTTGAATGGCTCATGTTAGTATGCATAGCATCAGAAATGTAGTTTATACAAGTGACTTTTCCATCCTGAGACGCTGCATGTCAGTTTTGTTTACTTGCAGTTAGTTATTTTTAAAAACATCCATTTTTAAAATAGTAACTGCTGTTTGGATGAACTCTTCATTATTAGTAATCCTTCCTTCTCCCTCACCCCCACTGTCAGGGTTGTGTTACTAAGGAGCAGGATTATAAATCAGATGAATCTACTCTGCCACGGACTGAATTTGGCCAAGATTTAATGACGAGAGTAGAAGAGCAAACTATAGAGTCAATCAATCATGAATGAATATGTATTCTAATGAAGTCTGACAAGTTTTATAGCAAATCTGCCATTATATGCACGTTTCATTACTGTTTTTACCAGCTGTAGTTTGGGATCTACGTTCTTTTAATTAAAAAAAAAAAAATCAGCGAGGCCACTCCGGTGGCTTGCTGGTAGCATATTTCCTTTTTCCAGATTTGAGATGAACTGATCCTGGAACTAAGTTATTTAAAAAAAAGATTCAAAACTTAAGGCTCAATGTTAAGAGTATACTCCCAAAGCATATAGCATCCTAAAAAGCCTGCAGCAGTGCTCAAATCCTTCAACCCATCCTCACCAAAAAGCCAGGAAAAAAATGGGCTGTGATTCCACCTCCAGGTCTGGCAACAGGAAATCACTCAAGCTTTGCTGCTCTTTATTTCACTAAAAACCCTTAAAGGAACTACAACCCTGCATATATCAGCAGTTCTCATCTTTTGGCTCCTTAAAACTCACGTTTGACTTTTGCTCAAACCTACAGTGGCTGTTGGAACAAAAAAAAAAAAAAAAAGAGAACACGATCCTAGGCAAGTGCAGTTCTGGATCTGTCTGAAATTGAAGGAGTGAGACACAGCTCCACCCAGGAACAGATCAGGGTGGATGACTCTCTATGTAAATACATACTGGAGCCTCCCATTTAATTTGCTTGCCAGGCATATTTTTCCTGCTTCTGTATAGTGGGGGAGTCACTTGTATGAACGAGGGGAAAAAATTCTATAACCTAACATAGAAGCCATCTTCTGTCTCTTTACCAGAGCCCTTTTCTTTGTCTCTGCCTGGACTTTCTTAGTTCTTACCACTGCATGGTCTTACCACTGCCCTATTATAGGAGCTATTTTCCCAGCCTGCCCTTTCTGGATACTGGCCTGTGGCCTTTTAAATTACAAGCAGCTGTAACCCCAAAGTGGCCATTTCACCATAGGCGGTTGGTTCTTGTATCTCCCTTTCTTCCAGCTGAAGAATTGGCTTTTTTCAACTCCTGTTACATTTTCTGCTTATGTCTCAAGATGGCAAGTTTGTCATGTGTAGAAACCGGGGCCATTGCTGCACAAATTACCCTATTTGCATTTTTTTTTCTTTCTAAAATCCCATTATAAAAATATAGTGAAGCAATATGCAGTGGGCAATGTTTAAAGAAGACAAAACTCTACCCTGGGTTGATGGTGAGAGAGTCTCTTTTCTTTTTCCTCTTGTGGGAATGGAGTTCTCCCTGTGGCTCCTTCTTGGATCAGCTGCCTTTTACACTTCGCAGTGCCTTTTCAGTTTGCTCCCTGCTCTAAGAGAAAAGGACCCTGCTGTTATTGAAGCACCACCTTCTTAGCCTAAGCCCAGGTAAAGCAGATGTAGTGGTAATCCGTTCTCTTTCCTCCTGCTTCCACAGTGGTGGGAGACCATGGGGGGGAGAGAATTCAGTGACCCCACAGTATGTATTGAAAAATACATGAGACCTGTCCATAGAGAAGGCAATTTAAGTACCACAACCTTTGTATGAACTGCAGTAAAAGTCACACAGAAATCATTGTCAGCAAGTTTCAGGGGTTAGTGTCAGTAAAAATACCAGATTTTGTGATTTGCCGCAGCTTATAAAAGTGGTGAATCTGAATAGATTGTGCCCAACATGTTACTGTTGTGTCTGTTGGCTCTCACAAGTTCTCTCTCTCTTTTTTTTTTTTTTTTTCTTTTTTGTCTTAGCCAGTCTTAGCCATTTAGGATTAGAACGCTCTTTGATTCTCTGGTCTCACCTCCCCCAGACAAATTTTTGTCTAGTTCTTTCTTTCCTCAGAATATATTTTCTCATTACTTAGTGGCTCAGTCCTCTCAGGAGACTTTATATATGTTGTTTGTTGTATCATTCTCAGAATTGTTTGTTTTGTTTTACACTGTGATGCTGCTAGTTATACACTAATTACAAAACAAAATAAATATTAACATAATAATTCACTTTACAGTACATCCCCCTTCGTAGTTTTTCAGAGGTGTTGATCTCTTGGCCACCTGACAAGACTCCTCTCTGCCTTGATTGAATTAGGGGACACCCTGCTTTGAAATTAAATTAAAGTTCTGATTAGTTGCTTTCTTCCTTGGTTTCATTCACTCTTAGACTTAATAAGCAGATGCCTTGGTTTTCTCTTTTAGTTGAGCAATTTTAAAAGTGAAATAACGGTCAAGGAGAGATGAATTAATCACATTCCAGATAGCATTGTTTTATGTTAAAAAATAATTGCTCATATTTACTCAATGTTGCTTATGCATGAACTAGTTTTACTTTAGCAATAGTCTTCTCAAATTAGTGTTAATACAAATGAAGTGTAAATTTTTATATAAACATTATTATTTAAATAACGTAAGTTCTCCTTATCTTTGGTACTTTCCTGAAGGAAATTATTTGCTTCTTGCTGTGGGAAGTCTGGTTTATTCGTCTGTGCCCTACGCTTGGATATGTTACCCAGGTTACCAAAATTGACTTTGCTAATATTTCAGACTCCAATTTACTGCACTGGGATCACCCAAAGCCTGGTTCCTTCATGATAACACTGCATCATGCATCTGCTGCTCGGGTGTGCATGTGCCTGCTGTGTTTGTTTTGTTTTTCACCACCTTCCATGATTTAAAGCAGTGGTTCTCAACCGGCAACCCAAACAGCACACAGCTGTGGCCCATGTGATATCCTCAGGGCCATACAGGTAGTATATATAGATTGTGTGGATGCGGCCCACATAATACATAGAGAGCTGCATATGCGGCCCACAGTGGTAAATAGGTTGAGAACCACTGATTTCAAGGCTTTGAGCCAGATCCTTAGGTGATAGGAATGGGCACAGCTCTGTTGAAGTCAGTGGAGGTACAATGATGTACAGCAGCTCAGAATCTGGCCATCAATATCGATGTAATCACTCTGTGACAGCCACTTACATTGACTTTCCAAAAAGCCTTCTTTAGGGCTTGCTCTGTTTGACCACTGATACAGTTGTATGGTCAGTCCAACAATCGTGCTTTATTACAGAAGAGCCATTATCTGATGCTTTGGTCTTAGGGTGTTGAATGTGGCCCTCCAAGACTAGGAAATCATAATGAAAGGTTTCAATTTAAACTTCTTTTCATTACAGTGTTTTTTGGCTGGGAAAACTGTTTCTGGTTATCAGGATTAACTTTTTCCTTTGCAGTTAAAAACAGGCAAATATTCCAATGTTCACTTTTGTTTTAAGTGGTGATCATAATTAATATTTATTATTATTTGCCTTACCATAATGTCTCTAGGTGTCCCAGTCATGGACCAGGATCCTGTTGTACAAACACAGAACAAAAGGGTGGTCCCTGCCCCAAAGACCTTGCAGTCTAATGCTTTCACATTGCCAAATATTACGTGTTGTTTTATTTGGGATCATTTTGAAAATGTGTGTTTGGTGTTTTTTTTACAACCCGTCATGCTGTTCATTTACCATTTGCTTTTTTAAAAAACCTTGTTTTCTAGCAAGAAGTTGAGAAGTTTACAGACCTAGAGAAACTCTACCTCTACCTTCAACTGCCTTCGGGTCCCAGCAATGGAGAGAAAAGGTGTGTGGGTGTGGGTGTTTAATATTAATATTGGTATAGTTCCCATGAGATTTTTTTTTCCCATCAAACACACATTTATCTACTGTTTCTGGAAACAGTAATGCTTCTTTATTATTTTTTTTAGGAAAAGTGTCTTTAATATTTTCAGAGAACTAGTTCTTCAGTAAATCTGAACTTTGGGAACCCTTGATGCATAATAACAAATCTGACAATATAAGCTTTGCTGTTTATGAGGAAGTGCTTTTGGTTGGGAATCTGATTATGGACTAGGTCTGACTGTTGCCTCAATTTTTATGTAATGGAGGTATAATCTAGCACTTAAAATATTACTATAGGAAAGAATGATTATTACTTCATGGTAGGTCTGACAGTATTTGTTCATTTAGGTCCTTGCCATCTCTGAAATAACTCCACATTTCACACTTGTAATAATTAACCATTTCCCCCTCATACTGATATCCAGAACAAGTGTTTTTTATTAGAGCTGATTGAAATGTCCCATATTTTGAGTACTCATGTTTTTTTAATTATGAAGAGACTCCATTTTCTCCATAATTTAAGGAAGAATCTCGCCTTAACTTTTAACTTCACCAAAACATAACCAATCCACATGAAAGTGTATAGGCAGGAACTTATGCCAGGACAGACATTTCTGGGAAGTTTGAGGCAAATTGTAAAATGCATTTGGGAGATATGAGGGATGACCATAACCTTTTAAATATGATGGGCTACATGAAGTTCGTCATTCTGTATGTCCCCAGTGCAGACCGTACAAAGTCTAAAGCATCAATTAGGGGAACCACATTAGAGATCCAGAAGGTGCTACAGTTCTTTATACTCAGTGGTTCCATTCTGCTTGACTGATGGGTTACCTTGCATACAGCTTTCCGATCAGTTTGCCCATTGCTACACTGGACTCACAGAAACCTATTTCAGGAATGCAGTAAATTGTCCTTTCTTTAATGTTGTTTTCATTGTGTCATATCCTGACCCTGATTTATACAATAGTATTGGGTATGAAAGCTCCTTATGCTCATATAAAATGGGGGTGCATTGGGAAGACCAGCCCAGCAAGATATCAGGGAGACATTGTACATATAGTGGAAGAGAGGTGCAGTGGCTTGGACAACATAGGAGGTATGGTATTTGAACCTGTCTGAAGTGGCCCTTTCTCCCTCCCACCCACCCCCCACTCTATATTGAAATTGGGGTTCTGTGGATGCATACATGAATAGATGTTGTATGAATGGCTTTGTAAGGAATGATCAAAGTTCTGGTCTTGTTTATGCCTACTGTTATTCAGCAAAAACAGCTCATAGATGAGACATTATGGAGTAAATTTTAAGAATTGCGCTTACGGGATGCCTGCACAGGAACTCCTGTTTGTCCATGATTTCTTTCCATGTGAATCTTTTCAGCCCATTTGAACACTTAACTCTACTAATTGAAGAGGAGCTATAGAGTACATTGTCTTCATCAGAACTATTTCTGTTTTCACTTAGCGATCAGATCTCGATGTCATCAAGCCGTGCGCAGCAAATGCATGCATTTTCTTGGATTCGGAATACCTTGGAGGAGCACCCAGAGACATCCCTTCCCAAACAGGAAGTTTATGATGAGTACAAGTGAGTGCTGCTAAATTGAATCCATACATCTAGTTGTAGCAATGCATAAAGAGTAGTGTACACAGTACAGATATTTAACCAGATGCTACAATTGCTTCCTTTATAAGCAGAGGCTTGAACTGCCTTGACTAAAGTATAGTTAAATATGGTGGAAGTTAGAACTTAAAATCTGACATTGTTTATGTTGACTATGAGGTTTAAATGAGAGGAACTGTGGATGAAATCCTGGGCCTACTGAAGTCAGTGGGAATTTTGCCATTGACTTTTGTAGGACTAAGATTTCACCATCTGTGCAGAACAATAAAGAAGTGAAAAATCTTTTTTTTTCTGCAGTTTCAGACTTTGAGGAAGGACGTTGTTAATGTTTTTATAAAATGAATCATAAATAATAATCTGGATATTAAACTTGCTCAAATTAGAGTGCAGTATACACAGAAAGGCCCTGCTTCCTGAGACTCTACTCCTGTATTCAGGTGGAGCCAGTTACAAGTTTGGAACCTAAAAATGCATTTAATTAAAACAAAATTAGTGATCAGAGTTTACTTAACTCAGAGACTGGGCAAGTCATACATTATTCCACTGACACATATATGTCTGTGTTGTATGTCTCAGTGCCTTAGTACGTATTCCTGGTAATAAATGCATATAAGACCACTTCCTATGCATTAACATAATGTCTGAAGATGCACTAACTACAGTGATGCAACTGCTACTGTATTCAGTATTTGCACTTTTGAAAGTAAGATCATAATTTTAAACTGCAGATTAAATAAATCTAAAGTTAAGAAACTTTTTAAAAAATAAGGACTTAAATTAATATTATTTATATTATGATAGAAAAAGAGGATTTCTGTACAGAACACTAATAATATCTTGCAGTAAATTTATATTGTCCCTTTCATGCAAAAAAGGCCCAAATTACTTTTTGCAAATTGTGTACATACATCACCACTGAAATGCAGTGATTTCTTACGTGCAAGATGGTGGCAACTAACCAGTGCCCAACACATTGCACAGCAGTGCAAACGGGGGAGTTTTGGTCAAGCAGATGGAAGTAAACCATAACTTCAAAGTGCTAAGAGATCTTAAAGCCCAGACAATACATTGGGTAAGGCTGGTCAACCAAAAGACCACATCACACAAAGTCAACTGCATGAAAGTCACTTTATCTGCATCAGGAGGATGAAGGGCTGAATTGACCTTACTGGGGTTTGAACAAGTAATTCATGGAATTGTAGATATTTCAAAACTAAGATTTTAGTCCACTAAATGATCCCCTCTGGAATAATACATGAAATATTGTGTCTGTCACAGAGAATGAGCCCTCATGCAGTAAGCCTGTTTCCGACAGGTTGCAGTACAGTGAAACCCCGCTATAACGCGATGATTGGGGTCCAAAAAATTTGATTGCGATAAATGCGGGGTCGCGGTATAGCAGGGTTACGAAAAGTTTACCATTTAAAGCCAGTCAGTTTCAGGCCTGTCAATTTCTCTTGGGCAGAGAGCAGGGGAGATGTGCAAGGGGCAGAGGAAGAGTGAGGAGCAGCTGGGGAGGAGAATGGCTCTTCCCGCCAAAAGGAGAAGCAGGGGTAAGGGGGAAGAGGCAGTGGGGAAGGCACATTCCTTTTTTTGTTTTTGGTTTTTTGTGCTTTGGCTGCGCTCCGGCCGGTGTGGTGTGTTTTTTTTTGTTTTTGTTTTTGTTTTGCACGCTTGGGGCGGCGGGAGCCACCTTATGATGGCGCTATAGCCGAATTCTCATTATCGCGGGGCGCGTTATAGCGGGGTTTCCCTGTATATCATAATGGTCATAGAATTGGTAACCAAGCCAATACACGTTTGTGTTCAGTTAGATCTCAAAGCTACCATATAGCTAGAAAAGAGATGAGGACTGGAGGAAGGGAGCAGTCAGACAAGAGTTGGCTCTGAATGTATTTAAAACCAAAATCCAAAAATTAATCAAATCAAAAATACGTGGCCCAATTCCTTGAAGATGAATTTGAATAAAGAATTATGATGCGGTATTAACAGTTTCGCCTTCCAAATGATTACAGTAAACTGCAAGGTGCTTAGTACTCAGCTCACAGAAGTTGCACAGTGCTATGACCAGATTTCCTCTGCAGTGTGTATATACATCACCTTAATTAACGCTGTCTGGCAGAGTCACTTGCTCCGACTGAGTTGAAATGTGGTGGTATTAGCTTGCCTGGAGTTGCTGAACACGCACACACCTAGTTCTGAAATCTCACCATCAACTCAAGTTGTGACGTAGGCTAGAAACATAACCAATAGTGCAAGTATGTTGAATTAACCAATCACGGAGCAGTCAGTTACATATACACACAGCAACAAAGGCAACAGCAGCTGCTGCACAAGAGAAAAACGTAAGCGTTATTCTTAAATATATTTCTTATTAAATAATTTATAGCCTGGTTCAGCAACAAATCTGCTTGGCTTCCATGCTGTGCCAAGCTACAGATGCCCAGAAAAATAATCATCTACAGATTGTGTAGTGTGAAACTTGAACAGATTTTCTGTGTAGCTACAACAAGCCTTTGTGTATTGTTTTTTTCCCCCTCACAAAATAAGGATGGTGAGGAAATATCTGGGAAAATATCAAATATTTGTAATCTGTTCTCCTTTTAAAGCATCTGTTCTCTTTTAAAAACATTTAGCTGCCATGAATATTTTTGAGTTACCTTCGTGCATCAAAAGGAGAATAGACGCAGGGTAGGAGGTGGTGGGAAATGGCATATAAATAGTAGCATTAGTTCTGATAAGACATTTCTCCCTTCTTGGGGGGATTAAGACATCTCAAAACCTACTTTTGTCTATGTCACTCATGAGTTGTTATTTCCATCCTCCACCTGTGAAGACAGATGTTTGGAGTTCACAATGAGCACTTTATACACACAGATAAGAAAATTCATTAATATTATAAAATATGGAGGGGTCATATGTCCATCAGAGGCTAACGAGACTTTTGAGGAGGCAGAAGCACAGAATCTACCCAAATCCAGCACAGACAAATTTTACTTGTGTTACCTCCCTCTTCAACCTTCAATGCAGTTTTATCTGTACACTAATTCTTCCTTTCTATACTTATTTACTTCTCTTTATGGTTTTATAAGTTGGGTGTCTAGGAAGAGATTTGAATTTTGTGATTAGATAGAAGTGACTATACTCATCTTGCCTTTAAAGTGGTAAAATAAATGAAAATTAAATTACAAAATAAAATAGTAGCAGCCCAGGAAGGTTAAGAACTTGCAGTTTAATTCCTGATATGAGGTGGTTCACAGGGACAGATCCACTCTCACTGGCATTAGGAGGTGCAGTTTGCACCAACCATCATAAGCAAGGCCCTCTGTGCCCTAGAAGGCTTTAACACCAGGGAGGGAGGGCAGGTGATGTTTTCTCTGTGAGCCTCCCTTCAGGTTTACGCCAGGGAGATGCAGCTTTAAAATGTGCTGGGGACTGCATGGTATGCACTGGGGATGCACAGAATAAATGCATCCCCTTATCAAGTCCCCTCACTATTCTGTTTGACACACCCATCCAGCAAAGAGGAGTTTTGCTGATGCAACTTCTTTCCACCAGCAAGGATTTTCTACCTGGGCCTATGCCATCAGAAACCAGTGTAGATCCTAGACGAATTTAGTGCATAGAGTGCAATCCTGCAGCTGTTGCTCAGGCAAGACTCCCATCTGCCTGAGTAAGGGCTTAATGGGCAAAGTCACGGCTACACGGGTTCAACTGATGAGAAAATCTTTCAAGAAGAAAATTAAAGATGGCACATGTTGCTGCACTGATTTCTAGCTCTGTCTGGGCTCTGCTGTAAAACTTCTGTTGCTGCAGTCTTGCTGCCACTGTGATGATCTGAGATAAGTGCATCAGATCATTCAAATATTTGAGGTAATGGAGCTAATTGTTCATTTAAGTTTCTGATAGAGTTGGTAAATTTTGATCAGAAGTTCTTTAGTTCCCATCTTCCTCCTGTAAATTATTAATCACTACTTCACTGTCTGTAGAGGGCAACCACTTGATCTGTAGATGGTGTATTGTAAATGTTAAAGATCTCAAGCAATGAGTTAGAAAAGGAAGCCTCAGGAACTAGAATAGAAGAGATTGAGTGCTGAAAACTCAGCTAGATTGACGCGGATTGGCAAATGTGTTAAGTGTTACATATTTTTTTTGTTTCATACACACTATAGTATTGGCTGATACTTTCTGTGATGGGTGTACAAACCCTAGGGTTGATGGGCTGCAGGGGGCCCAGTCAACCCCGCCCCATGACACTTCAGCAGGTGTCAGGCTGGGAGAGGAGCTAAAAAGAGAGAAATGCCTGTCTGGGAAGGAGAACAGATCTTGAGCTCTCACTAGGAGAGAGAAGGTTGGCTGGGCCAGGAACTGGGGTAGATTGTTGCGTATTTGGTCCTCCCTGAGGGAAGGGAAGATTTTACATTTCTTACGGTTTATTTTGGACTTTGGGTACCCTGGAAGGGGTGGAACTATTACATGACCTAGCTGGAGGGCTAACTCGCCTCAACCCAGAAGGTGTTGGAGTCTGGGTGGAGCAGTGGAAGAGCGAGAGGGAAACCGAGGCAGAGCCACTGCCCCATTGTGCCATGCTACAAGGAGGCATGCACTTTTCTTTCAAGGAAATAAAAAAATAGTTCAAAAGAATATATAGTGCAGTCCCCTAAAACTGAAAGCAATTAGACATACCTTTACAGGCAAACTTTCTGTAAAGTCTTGTGTCTTTATTGGCCTTTATTTCATTAATTTATTTTATGTTCCAAGTAATTTAAATTTTATATCTCAAGCGCATATTTAGATTGTAGGTCTCACAGAAAAAGTGCTTTATTCTGAGGGCTTGTCAGCATGGTGCCTTAGTCCATACCAGATGGGGTGTAAATTCTAATGGGTTCTAATATGTCCCACACTAACTGGCCTGTATGGACTCTGCTGGCATGCACTAAAAGTTCTCTAGTGTGTGTTCATGT